CTCTCCTACTCTTTCAGCTTCAGACTCAGCTTCTCCATCCCTGCTGCCTCACAGTTCCTGCGGATTGAACGTGTCCAAGAACTACATTTTAAAGCACTAAGTGTATCAGACACTGTGCTAGATACTGTTAATATAAAGACAACTCAACACCAACAATTATAAACAAAGAGAAATATTCCCTCGTAACAAGAAAAAGTCAACTATGAAACAGAGTAGTGTACTGTAAGGCAGGCACTGTTTCTGCTCGGCTTAAATCCCTTGACTTGCAGGTCTAAACCCAATCACCCCCTGAACAGCTGAGAATAGTACACAGAGCTGAGGAACGTGCCCAGGGCTGCCCACTGGGAGAGAAGAGACAGGCTGACACACTGGGGTAGGGGCACTAGGTACACTGTCGACAGAAAGGGGAAGCACAGAGCTCTGAGGGTTACCTCTGCTGGAGTGCAGACACACACCATGAATAGTGACACACCTTCTCATCTGAGTCCCCATCCCTTACTAGTTTCCCTCATCTCCCAGCAGTCACCTCTTTCTCTCTACATTCCCACCCTTGGCCATTGTACCCATGTCTACCTATATGCTGCCACATCCAAATGTACACTTCCACCTGAACACCTAACTTGTATTTTCAACTGCCTCCTACACTCATGGAGTCCTGGTGTGGCATGCGAGTTAATACACTGGACTACAAGGTCGGTTTGAACCGCAAGGATGGTGGTTGAAGCTCACTAGCCGCTCCTCAGAAACCCTAACAGGGTCACTATGAGTCAAAACTGACTCAACAGCACCTAACAACAGCTCAGCTCATGAGGAACCTGTACACAGACCAAGAGGCAGCCATTGAGACAGAACAAGGGGACAGTGAATGGTTCAAATATCAGGTAAGGTATGCCTTAGGGCTGTATTCTTTCAGCATGCTTATTCAGTCTGTATACTGAACAAATCATCTGAAAAGGTGAATTCTATGAAGAAGAATGTGGCATCAGGATTGGAGGAAGAAGGCTCATTAACAACCTGTGAATAATGCAGATGATATAATCATGCTTGCTGAAACCTAAGAGGACTTAAAACACTACTTACTAGTGAAGATCAAACTCTGCAGTCTTCAGTATGGATTGTCCCTCAATGTAAAGAAAACAAAAATCCACACGACTGGACCAGTAATGACATCATGATAAATGGAGAAAAGATTCAAGTTTTCAAAGACTTCATTTTATTTGGAGCCTCAATCAACACTCATGCAAGCAGCAATAAAGAAAGTAAACGACTTTCTGCATTAGGCAAATCCGCGGCACAAGACCTCTTTAAAGTGTTCAAGAGCAAAGGTATCTGTTGGAGGAGTAAGATGTGCCTGACCCAAGCCATGGTCTCTCCTATAACCTCATCTGCATGTGAAAGCTGGACAGTGAATAAGGAAGGCCTTAGAAGAATGGATGCCTTTGGGTTGTGGTGTTGGAGGAGAATATTGACAGTACTATGGACTGCCAGGGAGCAAACAGGTCTGTTTTGGAAGAAGTCCAGTTAGAAGCTAGGATGGTGAGACTCTGTCTCTCATACTTTGGGTATATTAGAAGGGACCAGTCCCTGGAGAAGGACATCATGTTTGATAAAGTGGAGGGTCAGAGAAACAGACAAAGAAAGACCCCCTAATGGGATGGATTGGCCCAACAGCAGCAGCAGTAGGCTCAAGCATAGTAACTGACTTGATGGTGCCTAACACACCACCCCCAACCCTGGAGGGTTCTACTACGCATGTGCACAGATCTCCTCGAAATTTAAAGTGACAATTCCTACTTACAACCAAACGGCCACCACTCGTCTGTCAGTTTGTCGTACTGTGGTGGCTTGTGAGATGCTATGATTCTGAAAGCTATGCCACCGGTATTTTAAATACCAGCAGGGTCACCCATGGTGGAAAGGTTTCAGATGAGCTTCCAGACAGACAGACTAGGAAGAAAGAGTGATGGACTACTTCCGAATATTTAGTCACTGAAAACCTTATGAATAGTAGAGAAACACTGTCAGACACAGTGCCAGAAAATGAGACCCTCAGGTTAGAAGGCACTCAAAATGCGACTGGGGAAGAGCTGCCTCCTCAAAGTGGAGTTGACCATGATGACACGAATGGAGTAAAGCTCATGGGAGAAAAGCCCATGGGACCTTCATTTGCTGATGGGGCACAACTCAAAATGAAGAGAAACAGCTGTAAACATCCAGTGAAAATCGGAACACGGAATGTACAAAGTATGACTCTGGGAAAATTGGAAGTTGTCAAAAATGAAATGAAAGGCATAAACATCGATATCTTAGGCCTTAGTGAGCTGACTGGTATTGGCCATTTTGAATGTGGCAACCACATGGTTTACTATGTTGGGAATGTCAAATTGAAGAGGAATGGTGTTGCATTCATCATCAAAAAGAACGTATCCAGATCAGTCATGACGTACAATGCAATCTGTGATAGGATAATATCCATGCGCCTATAGGGAAGCCCAGTTAATACCACTATTATTCAAATTTATGCACTAACCACTAAAGCCAGTGAAGATGAAATAGAATTCTACCAACTTCTTCAATCTGAAATTGATCAAACATGCAATCAAGATGTATTGATCATTACTGGTGAT